AACATCATCAACAACAACAACATCAACAACAACAAAATCAAACTGAAAAATGAAAAGGAAAACAAAACAAAACAAAAAAAAAAACTCTGGTTCAGAGTGTCTCTTCATCTTTGGTATAAAAATGGCCATCCATGGGCTGCATTTGATCCACAACTAGGAAAGACTACAGAAATTGTCAACAATTTCTTCTATTGCTTTTGCACTGATTGGTTTAAACCGTAAGCTCCTACTGAATCTACTGAATTTTTATTTCACTGCCAGAATTTTTTCCGTAGTTTTTTTTTTTGTTCATTTTATAATTTTTTTTTCTTGTTCTTTTTTCTTTTTTTTCGTTTTTGCAGTGTGACAAGCAAAGCGGGCTAAAAACATCTTAAAGCTCATAAAAAAGGTAAAATGTGGCAGATAAAAAGCACTAATGTCATTGACAGCAACTTTGCCATGTAAAATAATAATTATGATAATAAAAAACAAGTTCAGCATTTGCAACAGACTGCATCCACAATGCAGCATGTTTTCTTATGTTTTCATTTTTTCCTCATTGTGAAAAATCTCTTTAAAGCTCCCGCCCCACACACTACCCTCCCACAAGTCTTTTTCCCCAACATACATTTTGTTTTCTTCTGACACTTAGTTACCTCTGACATAATAATTATCAAAGTTTTCTTCTAATGAAGAAACGAAAAAAAGCTCTTCTCTATTAAATCTGTACAGCTTATGTGATAGATTCTTTTTTCCTCTTTAGAACAACTCATCCAGTATCTTGTACCCTCCAAGTGGTCCAAGAGACTGATTTTGTTTGCTTTTTTTTTTTTTTCCTAACCAGACGTCAGACTTTAACTCTGTAAAAAGTTTCTGGCGCCCTTCAAATTAAGGCCATGAAGATTCAAGAAAGAAAAAACACTTTGTTTTCGAATATATCTAGAAAACTAAAATTTAACACTAGAACATAAAAAAGAGTGAAAAGAAATTGTAGCTTAATATCTGAGGAAGACAATCTCTGTGTGTATCTCAAACTTGACTCCCATTTTCTAATTACAAAATAAACTTCATCACCTACCTGCGCATTCAACCTTTTTTTTGTCATTTTTTTTATTTTGTTTTTTCTTGTTTTTTTTTAATTGGTTGAGACTTTTCTTTTAGAAACTTTTCAAGCTTCAGCCCAGCCCTTCAGGCAGGTTCCCAGACTAAACAATTTCACTTCTTTGCACTGTGCCCAGCAATTTCCCCATCCCCTTCCTCAGCACTCTTTACCTCCTTCTTGCATTTTTTTTTCTCGTAGGCCAGGTAGGAAATGAAAAAAGTGTCTCTTTTTTGGTGCCTGGGCAATCTGGAAGCAATCTCTTTCTTTTCTCTTTTCCTCACATTCACAGTGCAGCCACCTTCTGTCTCAAGGCAACGCTGTCACGGGAACATTCGCTCAGGCCGTTGCTATCTGATGGAAGAGGAAAAAACAGAGACAGAGGGGGATGTGTGCAGTTGTCATCAAAGCACGATATTACAAACACAAAAGAAATAGAGCTGACAGCTGACAGCCCAGTCAGAAGAATAGAGCAAAATGAAGCACGTTAAACAGTTCTGATCAGGTCAGAAAAGCAAAAAGTGCTGCCAAAATGACAAGCAAATGACAGCAGCAGCCAAGAACAATTTGACTCATTTTATAGTGGCACTACTACGTCTCTTTGTACTCTCATTTTATTTAATTTCCAGATAAGTATCTATTACTGTGCCTGTACCTACTTCAAGTTTTTTTAACTGGTTATTAAACAGTTTAACTACATGCCTCAATATGACAAACATAAGCAAACAAGGCCGCTAGCGAGAAAATTGGATATTTCTACATATTTATTGTTAATGTCTGCCACTGGGCAGATTCCCCTTGAAATCAATAAAACGAGGTAGAGGAAACACCACCGCTGTAAGATTTAAAGTTCCTTCCTTCCTTTAACAAAAATTATTTATAATGCTTTCTATCTATAATACTTTATAAAGCTTTGTTATTACAAAGTACAAAACATCTTAAAAAATATATTTTAGTTCACCAAATAATTTGCAGAATCTTGTCTTATCTTAATATAATAATCTGGTTGACAGCAAAAGTCCTGCTTCACTGTTTGACTTACTTGGACTGGTATGAGTAAGCAGAAACATGGTCGCCAGCACTGTCCACCTGGATCTGTTGCTGCTGGCCAGCCACCTCCTGTGACGACGGAGCCACTGTCTGGGGGGAGGCGTCCGTCACCACTCCCTGAGGACACGCATGGGAGGAAATGTGTGAGCTCCAAACTTTAACAAGTATCCCTAGGCAATATTTAGTGCTTCCTGCTGAAATGTATATGACCAAACTGAGTAAAATTAAACTTCTACAACTTCTGTTGTTGTGATTATTAACTTCTCAGACTGACAGGTCCATCCCTCTGCCAATATGCTGTGTGTCAGAAATGCATAATAAAACTATTGTGAAGAATGAAAGGTGCAGCTGTACAAAAATTGCTGTTTTGAATTTTCAAAGAAGAAAAATATAAAAAATGTGTCTGTTATATAACAATTAAGCTATTAAAGTGGAAAACTCATGTTGGTGGTAAGTAATAAGTGGTCAAAATAAACCAGTAACATCGCCGTACTGAGACTTGACTTTGCATAGGGATTAGTGTATACTGTAGGAGTGAAATGGGTACGAATATTAAAAATAATCTTTGGTAGAAAATGTGCTAAATTGCTTGCAGATTTTTCCATCTATGTTTAAAGATAGCCACGAGCACTGAATTCATCACAACATACTCTTAGCCTTTTTATATGTCTAGCATTACCGATAGCCCCCATCAGTGAGTCATCTCAATCACCTTTAACAAGCTCTCAAGGATACTGCGTCCTGTCCATACATCAGCCCTCCAGACACTGGCTGATACAGTGATATACACCCCGCCGCTGACGCTGGCATTGAGAGGACGACGGTCAGGATGAAATAGGTAAGAGGCGCCAGGGGCTACACTACAACTACATCTCTCTCCTCTGTCTCACTCCTTCATGAGGAACTTTCTGAGGAGGGGGAGCTTGGAAGGGGGAATGTAAGAGCGGGGGAGGAGCGACTAATGGGTCTGTCAGGGGAAACTGTCATTGTCCGTGGCTGGTGGGCTAACCAGACCTCCGTGGCTGACGGATGTGTGTGTTCCAGCTACCTACCAGCCTGGACCGGCTGTGGAGGGAGAGAGAGAGAGACAGCACCACTGGCACTGTGTCTCACTTCAGCTCCTGTCATCTGATACACGACTGATAGTCCATCTGAATACGACTGCACTGTCAGCCGCCAGACAGCCGGCCCGCTCTCCTCGCTGGCCCACCCGCATTCCTTCCGCGTTCATCATTTCTCAGGCTGGACTGCCCGAACCTGCCAGGAGCTCAGACAGCCGCCGAAGAAGTGACAAAGCCTGCGCTGCACTTCAAATGTCTTTCCCAAATATTCTAAAACTTCTGACTCATCCTGCTTCGCTTGCAGTTTTCATCCTCGTTATTTGCTGGTGGTGCGAGGCCATTCGGTTAGAGAGAATAAGAGCAATATACAGTGTGTTTCAAATGTAATCTGTCTATTTAATGACTGTTTTGATCTGTAGATGTGGCGAGCAGGTCTAGAAATGGCAAAGTGAGCATTTGTGGGTGTAAGTGAGTGGGCTGTCAGGAGTAATGATGTCCTCCTTTGGGTAAACACCAGTTAGTATTAATGGTAAGTAACGTGTGCTTGTTTGTGGGTCTTACTTCGACAGGGACGGCTGTTGGAGGCACAGGAGTGTACTGGGGAATGTAGGTCCCTTGCATAGGCGCCGCGGCAGCTGCAGCAGTCATGTACTGAAACACAAGATACATAGACACATATCAAAATCCATGCATGCAAATTTACTCACAATACACAGATATGCAACACACACATTTGTGACATAATATACCAAACCCAGTCCAAAATAGAACAAGAAAGACTACACTGATATCACAATTTCCTGAAAGTCTTATTCATGCAATTATCCCCAAAAATCATTGGGAGCTTGCTGTGCCCTCAGCATCCTTTGGAGGGCGCTAAAAGAATATGTGTGCACTCTTCAGCAAGAGCGGGGCAGGAGAGATGTATGCGAAGTAGACAGCGGAGTAGGAGGAGGAAGAGATGTCCTGCTGTTCCACCAAAACTTCACAGGCAGGCAAATGCATCAGGTCACAGCTGAGGAGAAGATAAAGAATAAAAAAAGAAAGCAGCAAGGAATGAAGGGAGAGAGAGAGAGAGAGGAAGAAGAAGCAGGAGGTCTGTTGCCTGTGGCCTATATTCCTTTAGTCACGCCTGCTCTGGCTTTTAACTGGGTGCTAGCTCACTCCATGATGGCCGTTTTACAGACGTGACACAAGTTCGGTTACATGACAGCCACAGGGCTTTCACATGCAATATGAATGAGGACAGGGCACTTTGTGTGAGGCTTTCCTTGGGACATGCTGTGAATGCATGTTGTGAGTGTGTGTGCATGTGTGTGTGTATGTGTGTGGTGAACGCATGTGCCAGTGTGAGCCTGATTTGCCAGTGTGTGTGCTTCTTTTTAATTAGTGCATGCCTGTGCATAAAAAGATGACTTATTACTATTTGTCTGTCCAACTGTGCATGTGGATGTATTGTATGTGTTCTCCTGTGTGCAGCTGTGAGTTGGGAACATACATGCATATCTCTCTGTGTGTGTGTGTGTGTGTGTGTCTCTGTGTGTGCCTGTGAGAGACAGACAAAGACAAAGAGGCTTGGAACGATAATGCTGCAGTACAGCGCCAACGGATGTGATCCCAGATAAAAGCCACCAGGCTGCCTCTCCGCCTCTCCTCGTCTTCCTGCTGCTTTTCCGGACCAAGGAAAAAAGGGAAGTACAATCCCTTTCTTTCTGTCTTATTTTTTCATTCGCTTCTCAGTCCCCCTGCCAGTGCTAAAAAGCGTGGCGGCAGCATGCAGTAGGAGGCAGTAATGGAGGGGCTGTGCCGGGCTGCGGAGCCTTTCTTGGCCATGGGCCCGGCGGTGCTGGTGAAGTGTCATTACCGGCAGCGTTGCTAATGGATCGGGTACGGCTCCACCGCTCACCGCTAATGAGAGCAGCTAAAGGCCATGGACATGGGTGATTAACTCCCCCACCGTCGCTACACATGGCCAGGAGGATGCCCTGGGATGGATGTTAGTGTGCGTTCGTATGACTGTGTGGGTCTGTGCGTGTGAATTTAAGGTTATCACACCTCCAGTGCTGTCACACTCAGGACGGGGTGAGGTGGCATATCCAGACTTCCTGACACATTACCACATTACCTCCCTGTGTCATCCCTTCTTCCCTCTCACCTTCCTGTCACTCCCTCTCTCTCTCTCCCCTTCTCTCTTAACCTGCTATCGTCTAAAAGGGCCTATCAGATTGTTGAAGTGACCTTCTCCCTGGTGAATCGAAACCATGCATACCAATTTTCCTCAGGACTTTTTGTCTTCGCCTCTCCTTCCCATTAACTTATTCAGCCAACTCACCTGTGAGGGCTGCATGAAAGCAAATGAAGGGAAGCAGGAGATAATTAGCAATATCAAAATTTCCCTGTCAAAGGGATACTGTCCATTTGAAATGTTATATTTCTCTGCAGGACTGCAAAAGGAATTTAAATTAGATTTAACAAGAAAATTTAATAAGATAAGATTTTTTCCTCAACCATAACCATTAGTTAACCTATTTAATGTGGCAGGTTGAGGTTGCTGCTGTGGCAAGCCAGACGGATGTCAAGCCTGCCTACAGTGAATTGGGTTGCTATGGCGATAAAGATGATTTTTGTCCAATTTCAACTCTTTTAATACTTTCCTGTCCATAGTCAGGGGACAGGTTTGGGCAATATAAAGCATCCCTAATTGGCAATAAATGGTGTTTCACTCTCACAGTCACACATATCTATGCACGTATACACACACACAGACACACACACATACACCTGCCTGCGTCTGGAACAGATGGCGTGTGCGTATGTTTGATGAACGGGAGGCCTGAATAGTTCCTTAACGAGGCTGGTGTGAGTAGACTTCTTAAGTCTCTTCTCTACCATCACTCTCCATGACATACAACTAGAACTACAGTATAAAGTCAGACCGCAATGCAGCAATGTAAGCTCAAAAAACTATACAATGGACAGAACCACTCTGGTACCACAGTGGTTTGGGCCCTCTGGACCGTGTAAGACAATTTATGTTTGGTGAGTACAAGGATGATAGGGCCGTTTACTTTCTGCTTTCAGTTTTCCACATCAACAAGAATTTATCCAGAAATTGTTTTCTGGCACCAGCGGAATGTAGTACAGCATGTTAGCATGTTTAAACGTTCAAATAAATCATCCACCACTGTCTGTCACACAGCCTCCACATGTACGTATCTGTCCAGCCGGTGTTGACCTGCTGTTCTGTCACATCGTCTGCAAGGTGGAGGATAACAGTTGGTCAAGGCAAGAGCATCCAGCTACTCAGTGTAGGTTATTAATGGCAGAGCAGTGTGGGGATGGGCTCTGATGACTATTGATCTTAGCTGTGGGGCTCCAACATGATGGGAACTATTGGAGCTGCACACCAGCGGCTGTGAATCACAGTGCTGTACCACTTCACCATAAAAAGCCCTCCATATCTTGGCCCCTAGGCTTTGTTAACACCTTAACTGCACAGATTTCTACTGGCAAAATCAGTGTAATATTTTTAATCACACGATACACAGTCCAGCCTATGGTTTTACATTATTTCACTGATCTACAAGTGGCAATAATGCACCAAAAAATAAATGTAGCACGGTGCTAAAAAAAGGCCTGAAAGAAAAAGACATGGATGTAACCAGCAGGTTTAAATTGTCCAAAAATTAGCTTTGCAAATGCCCTATGAAGAAGAAAATGCATTCAACACATTAGACCTCAAGGATATAGACAGAAATTTTACATTTGAAAAGAGCTTGGCAAAGAAACTTTATCTCTCTGCCATTTGGTGCTGGCAAGGTAGCATACATTTATTTATTGCAGAAACTGCTGACTGCTGCAAATAGAAATGAAGCTGATCAGAGTGTTGAGACCAAACTGTACAGTTGTGAGATGTAAAACCAGTGAGCAAAGATGCTAAAATGCTCTGTAGAGATGAGGGGGAACTGCATAATTCTTTGTGCGATTGTGATTTGATGCAGCTTTAAGTTAAGTTGATGTACTAGAAAGCCTGCCTTAAAAGACTCAAACTATGCAGTAAACAGTAAAACCTGTACCATGGAATTACTGACATACTTTATAATCACGATCCAGAGTTTCGGGCAAGATTTGACTGCACTGAAGAATCTGGTGCTTACTATAAGCTGATGCATTTCATGTGCATACAAATTGAGAATATATATAATTCAAATTGAGAATTAAGGTCATATTTAAGGCACAATTTTGATTCAGAACACATAAAAAACCTTTAATTTAGAGCACAAACTTCAAATTCAGAACATTAAAACTGGCACTACTCTTCTTGGCTACGAGCCCTTAAACACATTCAAAATGCATTGTAAAACTGAAAATTCCCATAAAAGGTTGTTCCTCCCTTAACAATTACTGTCAAGGTCCCGCAAGGTCCTAACTGCTCAGTGGTACTGGGAATCACTCAGGTGTCAACATCTTTCTTTTACTGTCTGAATGAGAAGCTAAAACAGAAGCAAGTGCATGCTCAGTGAACTTTCCCCGGGTGAGTAAAGGTTAAATATAGCCATGCACAGTTATGGAAATGTCGAATAACATACTGTACTTAGACTTCCCCTCAGAAAACCAAGGGAAACAGCCCAGATAATAGAGGGAAATGCTTCACACAAATCTGTCTTCCGGGGACAGAGAAGCTGTCAATCACCACTGTCACCATGACAACGGAGACCTGGGTTCTATATGCCATGACAGGAATAGGATGGAGAACACAGAGGGAAGGTCACCTCTTGTCATGTCAAACACTATGTATCGCTCACACACAAACGCAGACACTGACATGCGTGGAAACACACACAAATACTAAAATGACAGAGCAAGTACACATCCACACATGCACTGCAACTAACAGGCAAACACAAGGCATGACAGATAGAGTACTGTTAAGTGGTAAGAGCTCGAAGACAGTAAATAAATCAGTAACAGGGGAATATGCACCAAACATGGTAAATTAAATCAGTGAGGAGAATGGATGGCATGTCTATGTGCGCCATCCATAAACAGTATGCCTGAGGTTCTTTAGCATTCTGTAATCAAGTTGTTCAAGATAGACAGTCACCAAAACTGAGCTCGGTGACTACAGAAGTTGTTGAAAACAGAACATTTTCTGGTGAAGCAGCTAAATTCCAAAGCAGTGACCATCAGACGGCACCGATCCATGCTTCCTCATTACGAGCCGAGGTTTTCCTTTGCAACTCCTTTTTAACAGGCTTAACCCTCCATGCTGATCCTCGCTGCAAAATAACACGACGTTCTCGGAAAGCTATGGTCACCGCACCAGTGTCACAGCTTGGGCGGACCGGGAACATTTGGTTCTTTTCTTGGAGAGAAGAAGAAAGCCACAGCCATACACAAACAGCCGCAGAGAGTCCTAGAACAGCCAAGAGTATTCTGAGGTGTGGCTTCTCCTTCGGCGGCCCAGAGGCAGCCGTGATAAGTTGTTGACTTTGGAGATGTTACTCATAGCAGGTGCTCTTCTGTGGCGAAGGATAAATCACGTGACCAGTGGGGGCAATCAAAACAACCTCACCACATGCGTGTGCACTTGGGGAATGTGCTCTAAGAGTATGTGGTGTCAAGTCCAGTTTACTACACGGATAGTTACAGATCTGGGTTCCTAACCCCTCTTTTACCAGACTTTCTCAATCAGAAGGTATGAAAGGCTTTTCACATCTGGCTTAGGAATAAGAGTTATAGGAAACACGTCTCAATTCCCATAGATGATCAAGTGTGGCATGCCGTGTGTGCAGCTCAGCCATAGAGGAGTTATGCTACACAGCACATTGCCTCAGGAAAGCTAAGCAGGCAGAAAGGGGAGAGGCAGAGAGAGTAAACCAGAAATGAAAAAAGGAGAGAGAGAGGGCCTTAACCCACTTTCTACTATAATGCAACCCATCAAACATCAGAAGCCATCATCATAGATTAGCCTGTCTCTAATCCTGGCTGTTAGCACAGCTGGGGCAGATTAGGGTGGGGGCATTCCTGACAGAGCCAACATGGCGTCACAGTCGCTGACAGCTCACCTGGAAACACATGGATAACTGTACAATACAGCACTGTTTCAATCATACACACACACACAAACACACACACAGAGATCAAACGTAGTGCCGGAGCAAAGCTGCCTGCTTGCCTGCCCCCGGGGCAGCAGGGTTAGGGCAGGAAGTCAGGCTTCAGAGCTGTGTGACACCTCTAAGTCGACTTGATCCTGAAACAGGGGGGAGTTCCTGGTTCAGGGGGCGGTGATTGTGAGCGAGTGTGTGCGTGGAATAAAGAAGACTGATAGAGTGATAGACTTGATGTGTGATTTAGAGAGTGAGGGAGACAGAAAGTGTGAGAAAGAAACCGAATTTAGAGGGTGAAAGTGAGGAAGGTGGAGAATAGAGAGCTCTGTCACACTGTTAAGCTTCACAGGAAATCTGTTTAATGTGGAAGATCAGGGAGGAAATATGCTTTCTCAATATCTGGCACTGAATGTATGCAGTGTAAAACAAATGATATGGCCGCTCCATGGCAGAGCACATGTGGCGACAGCCCAAGAAGGTTTGGCTTTCTTGAAAGGAAATGTAAAATCCATCTCTTACTCAATGTGTACCTGTTTTTGTTCCCCAAAGATAAAAGGCCTCCAACTTGGTCCTCTTGACCCATAACAACCGCGTAATGGACACCTTTTTCTCTCTCAATTTTCTGTCTCAACTCGTAAGAGCAGATGTAGACTTAGATGTTTGCTGGACTGGCACGATGAAAAGGAGTAACAGCAAAACAGCTAGTCACAAATACATTTAACAAGCACCTTTTTATGGATTTGTAGAGGTTGAGATTTCATTGCTCCTAAAAGAATATGCCTGGTTTTAAAAAAAGGGGACACAAGAAAGTAAAAACTGAAACTGGTGTACATGACATCCTGTATTTATATACCTTTATCAATCTAGCAAATGGGGAAGAAAGGAGATGACATATAGCAAAGGGCCGACAGCGGGCTGGAACCAAACTTGGGCCACTGCGGCGAGGACTCAGCATTAGTACATGAGGCATGCTCTCTACCAGGTGAGCCACCAGGATGCCCCATACTGTATTATAGTATACTATATACTGTATTTCACTGTGAGGTGTACTGTAGCCTAGCCTTTTTCTAACCTTACTATGTAGTGATTGTGAAACTGTGTAAAAGTACTGGGCAACAAAAAGATGCCAAGATTCAGACCAAAGGTATTGTAAAATGAACTGGTGGAGTAACAAGGACAGAGGAGGAGCATGTCCCTCCTACCAGGAAGAAACAAAGTATGACCATAGAAAGATTATGTCCCCCATAGGAAGTACAACACAGTAATACATCTAGTAAACATACATAGTAAAAGTAAAAAGAGTAATGCTAAAACAGTCAGCCCAACAGCAAATTAATGGGTACTATGAATGTTCTGCTAGCAACAAATCAGCCTCAGACAGCTAATGTAATGGCAACCATTGTTAGCAGTAAACTGATCACATAAAAACTACATTAACAAATCAACAATCACAAAACAGCTGCAATAAAAAGAGTGTCTACAGATAGGACAAGACATTTGAAGAGTAGATAAAAGATGCCTATAAATATTTTCTTGGTCACAGATCTGACAAACGACGGACGTAACAATGTCAGTTAAACAGCTATTGAACTCAGTCAGTAGTGGTTGCTACTAGCAACAGCACATTGAACTGAAATCAACTGCTGGTGGCAGAATAAACCTGTTTTAGGAAAATATTGTAAATGATTCAATTATGTGCTTTCCAAAAAACATGCATAAGAAGGCGATGTTGTTTTTTTCAGCCCTCTGTAGAGTGTCCACCTTCAGTAACAAATAGTTTATGTAACGTAAAAAAAAAGTCCACCAAGTATTACTAACTGCTCATCAGGTTTTCTCCTGTGATCGCACAGGAATAACTCAAGACGGCCTAGATAAGCAGCATTCTTTAATCAACTTGGAGCTCTCTCATCTGGATTATGGCAACTAGACAGGCAGGTGTTTGGGTGTCCAGGGAGTACTCACACTTCCTGTAGTGCCCAGGGACAGATGGTTCATCTGCTGGGTGATAGGGCCCATCATGCTGGCAGGCTGCATGGACATAGTGTGGTCCATGGCGGGCGTGATCACTGCACCCTGGTGGAAAGAGAGAAAAGACAAGGAGAAGGTGAGATTAAAGGAGGAACAGAAGAAATTAGGACAATTATGCATATTTCTTTTATTCTTTATTCATATTAGCGCTTCACTTATTAGTAAATGACTAACTTCATAAAGGAGAGGAGGTTTGTATAAAGGTGTTTCAAGAAGAGGATAGGGTATGAGGAAGACTTGGGGTTGTGGCAGAACAGTAAAGGTTAAAGGTAGGAAGTTGACAAGTTGAGAGAGAAGGAGGACAGGAAGGAAAGAGATGGAATCGCCAACAACATAAAAGCATTAAAAAGAGAGGAAGAGAAAAGGGTGGGGCCTAGGCAGGGGTGACACAAGGACAACGCAGCTAGAGAAGAAGAAGGGAAGAGGGACAGTGTCAATAAACAGAACAAAACAAAACACAGGGACATTTTCAAGATCAATACACACTATTGTCTTTGGTCCATCAAAATCATCAATATCTGCTGCTGATGTATCAACAATATGGGTTTGTGTGGTTCATTGATTGCTGAGAGAGGATTCTTTCCCTATCCTTCCCTCCCTCCCTGTCTCTCACTCACTCACTCACTCCCCTCTTGGTATAATGCGCGGCATGTTTTTCCTAACGGGCGGATGAGAACGCTAGAAGCTTCTTTTTCACGGTGCAGTGGAACATGAGGGAAAGTGATGAAACCATTGTTGCACTTTCATCCCTTGTCATGATAGCTCCATTTCCCCAGCACTGAAGCCTCGGGAGGAACGCGTTCAAAACCAAGCCCCTTTTCCTCTGCTCGCCTCTCTTTACACTTTGTGTGTGCATGTCTGTATTGAAAGTGTGTCTATGTGTGTTGGTAGGTAAGCTTGCAACACTATGTGTGTAACAGCATTTGTGCACGAGTGTGAAAGAGACTGACAGTGTCTACATGTGTGTACATGAGTGGCAATACAGTATGTTTGCGAGTGTGCGCTTGCATGTGCGCACCCCACTGGTGACTCTGTGTGGGCCTATTGGAGAACAAACTGTGCAGACACAGCCTGTCAGAATCGCTCTGCTTGTCTACTCCCTGAATTCACAACACAGTCAGCTAACTCCCTCTCTCCTCCCTCTCCCACTCGATATGCAAGCTTCATGTGATCCTTCCCGGAGTTTCACCTCAGCATAAAAAGAAAGAAACTGGGTAGAACTCTGAGATCAGTAGTAAAAGAAGTACTCCTCCAACTGCACCAGCTCTTTGTGAGTTCAAACTCGTTTATAACGTAATAAGTGTTTACTAAGTGGAGAATAAAACAGGAAAATTAAAACAGGTCACAAACTCAAGGGTGTCATTTCCACTGGGGATGGGGGGGGGGAATATGTCCCCATCACTCAGAGTGACTGCTCTGCAGACTTTTTTTGGCCTGGGTTTTGCCTCTCATGCTGTATAAAATTGTCCTATCTTACTGGTGTATGTCGGGGTATATGAAACCCTAAATGGAATAGCAGACCGAAATGGCACTGACTTTTTTCAAAGTATTCAACATTTACACTGAAATGAACAAGCAGACAAAACTTGAGGTAAGAGGTTATGAAATATCTGACCTGACACTTGATTAAAATAATGACGTAAATTCCAAAATGTTATGCTAATAATGTCAGGCTAAATGAGAAAAAAAAGGTTACAGTTGCATAATCAAATTTAGCTCTCACTCTATTTTTTGTAACAGTTTTTAATCTTTTTTAAAAACAATTTTACAGTTTGTGATACACTGACTACCTGTTTGCATAGTTAATGTTGGTCGTTTTTGATTGGACAGTACTACAGATGTTTACTACTAACTGATTTACTCATCACTAAAGTCTTTCCTACTGTAACTGAGACATTTCTAAAGTTTTAAAGGTGCAGCCTGACTTCGTAAATCACTAGTTTGAAACTAGCTAGGAAGGACTTTACCCCAATGTTAAACTGTGACAAGTATATAAACTGATATCATTCATTTTGTGTGGGAAACGCAAAGGAGCCAGTATCTATGGCTGTCATCTAAATGTAGTGGAGTAAAAAGTCCAATATTTCTGTCTGAAATGGAGTAAAGTTGAAGTCTAAAGTAGCAAAAAATGAAAATACCCAGTACTTAGTTCCGTTTCACCACGGGCTATGACGGACAAAAAAAGGAAAAGGGAAAGCGAGGAGACAGACAGACAGACTGCGTGAAGACAGAAGAGGGATGATTAAGGAGAGAGCTGATAGAGGTCATGAGGAAGACAAGAGCGAGAAGAGACGGACGGGGAGAGGGAGGAGAGGGAATTACAGAGAAAGGCTGAGGGACACAGGGAGAAAGCGGCAAAAGACAAAGAAGAAGAAGAAGAGAGCAGGCGACGAAGAGAGAAGGAAAGAGAAAGAGAGAAGCGAGAAGGAAGCAGCAGGAGCTGTGGGCTACCTGTTACTGATTCAGCCTCCGACAATGCCTTTATAATGGGAAAGGGAGAGCAACGGAAAGGCTTAATTCACAGACGTGTCAGGGAGAGTTAAGCCGATTTGTGATTTCGATTTTCTGTGTTTGTGAGACTGAGTGTCTGTGAAAGCGGGGGTTTTGGTGTATGTGTGTGTGTGTGCACGTGGGTATTTGTTGCGTTGTGTGTCTGTCCACGGACAGACCAGAGAGGACAGGATATGAGAAAGAGACTGACACAAATATATGTTTTTGATTTGTCCTCTGAGAGAGAGAGAAAGAAGAGAGCAACATAATGGATGCTACAGACGTATCTGTTACAAATGTATGAGATGATGTTTACAGAACTCCTCAACGCATGCATATGTTTTGGTGTGTGTGTGTGTGTGTGTGTGTGCCTGTGAAAAACACCCATCTTGCTGAAGATGGTATTGATCCAGCTCTAGACAGGAGACAGATGATATCAGCCCCCATGGTTGTTAAATACGCTGATATACACTCAACGACCAGAGACAATGTACAGTAAATAAGAAATCTTGTAAAAAAACTTACAGCCACCTGTGTTTTTTAATGACCACTCATTACGAGTAAATAGCAACACTCAGATTGATGTAGTGCTGATCGGTATCAGCTGATATTCATTACTCGGTCTTTAGTGTTGCCGATCAGAAATAACAATTGTAAAATGGGTAGGGCAAATTCATAAATGTCACGCAGATAGTGAGGGTTTTTACTGCCTGATCCATTAGGGCTAAAGGATCTCCACCACATGAAGGACTTTACATTCCTGTCCAACCTCACACAGGCAGTATGTTTCGGTTGCCGGTATCAAGCCTAAGAAAATTAGTATTTTGTTTCTGGCTGCGCAGAATTCCATCCAGTTTTATGAATGCACATATGAGATACTGCCTTTTTGCTTGCAACCATGACTGTGAAATATAAAATTGCATTTTGTGTGTGTTTATTTTTTTTAAATAATCTGCTCAGTCAAGTAGGCAGTTAAGAATTTTGAAAGAATTCAAGAAAGAATTCAAAATTGCTCATTTTGGAGGGTGTAACAGAGTATTAGAACATGTAATGAAAGCTCTGCCTGAAGAAAAGAGCCAGTAATCTTCTAAATGGACTAGAGGGGATCATTTTGGGGTGAAAAAAGAAAATCGGGGAACCTTACAAATGAGGAAAACATTATGTTTTTTACAGGATGTCAAGTTCCCTGTAAAATCCTGTAAAGATCGTGACTGATTCTGATGGCCTAATGAAACTGATCAGAGCATCCCTACAGCTAGCCATTTTGCTCATCTCTATTGCTGCTGCAGGTTATAATATCTAACATTATTGCCTAATCTAAACTGTTGCTTCAAACTGGTGCTGTTATATCACTACCTTCAGGCAGTGACAATGCCCTCGCTCTGACTGAAAACAGCCTGAGGCCACAGAGCAGCTCACACGCCGATCCTCACCTTTGGAGAAAATTTGGAAAAAAAAGACTGCAGAGGCAAAAGAACGTCAAACAACGACAGTCTTCCACTCAAACAAAGCATCACTTGTGTTGTCCACATAAAAGAGGACCCGCGCTTGACTCAACACATTCCTCGCTGTATTTGACAGTTGGTTTCCCCAAGTGAGGTTCTGTGGTTTGGATACTGATGCTGGTGTGTGTATGTTAGTGTGTTTTGTGTTGGGGTAAATGTGACACGCTCGCTGTAGGATACTTGCAGAGGTGCTGCAGCTCCACGCCACAGGATTTGAGTACAGCATAGACATTTCTCCATCTCCAGTGAAACACACACACACACACAGACTAAGCTTGTTGTCATTATTGGTCTGGAAAGCCTGGTAGTACAGAACATCTGCTGATGATTGACTGGTAACTATATACCGTACAGAATGCCAGGGACCCCTAATACTATAGGCTTGCACACCTGAAGGGTATATAGTGTAGGCAATGAAACTGTATCCATAGAAAGCACAAAATTACTGGTCCTTAAATTTTATATTATGAGTGTAGAAAGTGTATATGCCTGTGTATTTCATATATATGTACATGTTCCTGCATGATCTTTAAAGTGTGTGTATGTGCTCTTATTTATCTTCTGTATTTGTGCTCTATTAAGGTTTACAATAGCCACCCATAACTTTTCCTTCACCTTCCTCGACTGTGACCACAGTTTCCAGATGCCCTCAGGCACCTTTCTATTCGGGTAAGCCCAAAAAAGGGAGGCAGCATCCTGGGTCTTTCACTTTAATCCGCAGCATGAATCCCTCCTTGGGGCTAACAGACTACCAGGGCTGCCCTACTATTACCAACACAGACTGTGAAGACACAGCGTGTCATAAACTAAGCCAGGAAGGTGAACTGCTCATTTTACCCAACTGAAGCAACAGAGGAATAGTAGTGCACACTGACGAATAGCAATGAAAGGAGCCCCTATGAGCTGACATTGATGCAGATAGCAGCTTATTGTAGCTTTTGCCATCGTGTATACATTTGAAATAAAAAATTTTAAGGGTTTTCAAAAGCTTAATTGCAAACATGACAAGAACCTACAGGGAAAAGTGGGATCGTTACCGTGAAAATGAAG